CAGATACCAAAACAGAAGAAAATCAGAACAAAGCAAAACCGACAAAGTGTATTGTCCACTTTTGTTCTGAGGTTCCCACACAGTTTTCCATGGTGTGTCTGCTCCCCTGCTTGGTCTTGCCGTTTGGTTTCGCCCAAGTTGTTGGCTCAGGGTCGCCAAGCCTGACAGACTCAAAACTACACGATTTCTTATTTCTGCTATACTAGGTATAAGCCTTCAAACCTTTTAAATATTCCTATGTCTGTGGTTCCGAGTTTTGGAGCTCTGGCCTGGATTTGCTTTGCCTGGTATTCTGTGGTATCCTGACAGTGAACTCCACTGCATCTCCACCCTAGCCGCCATCAGGACCTGCCTTGCTCCTCCCATTTTATAGGTGGGTCCAGACACAAATCTTGGTAACCACAGCACCTAACATTTATTGTCTCGGAGCTCACAAATATTATCTCATTTAACTCCATAACAATCTTATAAGGCAAGTGGTAGTGTTATGTTCAAAGGGCCCCTGATAATGCTGTGGGTTAGGTACTGGGGTACTAACTTCAGGCTAGATAGTTCAAACCCATCACTTTCTCTGTGGGAGATGGATGAGGCTGTGTGCCCCTATAAAGATTTACAGTCTCTGAAACTCTACATATCATCACTATGAGTTGGAACTGACTTCATGGCATGGGTAAAAGCATCATATTCATTTTACAGCTGAGGAGACAGGTAAGAAGTAGCCATCCCACTGCCAGAGAGCTAGCAAATGGGGATGGGAAGGGATTCAAATTCAGGCAGTCTTATTCTATACTGTGGACTCAACTGTTTTATTATAGAACCTCTGGTGACTCCACATATTTTATTAAGGAGGAAACCTAAGCCTTTAAGACAGTATAACAGCAATCAATATTTTTTCCTTCAAGTTTTTGCTTATCTGAATAAATGTGAGTTGGTGTCAGTTTACAGCCATGGCACAGGACAGAGCAGAACTGCTCTTTAGGGTTTCTCAGACTAAGTATTTATTTACAGGAGCAGACTGCCTCATCATCCTCCGTCAGAGTGACTGATGGGTTTGAACTCTCGACCCTGCAGTTAGCAGCTTAACATCAGGCCCATGGCACCACCAGGGTTTCTTAAGGGTTTGATAGTTGAAATGAAATCATGGGACACATCAATCCATGATTCATACAAGTTCTATTGATCACATTAAAAAGCAAACTAAATTCATACTTTGTTTTCAGAGTTAATGAAAATACTACTGAGTAACCACAATTTAACAGAGGATCTGGTCACAATTCTTTAGTCAAAACAAAGCAGGTATCACAACAAAAGAACTTCCATACTTTAGGATGTTAGCTCAGTGATGACACTTTGAATGGTTTAGACAGTTGTTGCTAAGTGTCATCGAGTTGGTTCTGACTCACAGCGACCCTGTATAGGGTTTCCAAGGAGTGGCTGGTGGGTTTGAACTGCTGACCTGCAGTTAGCAATCCAGTGCTTATCCTACATACCCACACCAGCACTAGCTGCTCCTCAAAAATCACATTCCAGCATTAACAACAAGACTCCATATGAATGTGAAAGGAGAATCTGAGACCTAAGTATTTTTGGCTGCAAGAGAAACAGTAATTTTCATCACTTTGTCCGTTACTGTTTTCTTTGGGCTCTATTTGTTTATTTATATTTTCTTGTATTTACTTGAACTACAAAGTTAATACTTAAAATTTTTTCCTACTAAATTATTACTATAAGCACTCACTTAAAAAAAAAATCACAATAAATTTCAGAAGTTGCTTTAGGAAATAAATTTAAAATATTACTATGGCTATTACTTAAAAGAGTAAAAAAAGTTTGAAAATTGTGGAAAAGTATTGTTACCAATGACTAAGGACACTTACCTCATCTGGAAAAAGATGTAGCCTTTGCATCATAGTTCTTCTGTGAAGGTTTTTTGGCAGCATACCATAAATAGCTAGTTTAACAATCTAAAAAAGATATGTATATAGCATTCAGTAAGAAAAATGTGACTTAAGACACAAAGAAGGCAATTTCAATTATAGACAGTAACAAAAATGTTTGGGCTAAGAGTACACATGGGACTCCTGGCGTGATGCTGTAGGATCAGCACTGGGCTGTGAACTACAGGTCAGCAGTTCAAATCTACTAGCTGCTCCTTGGAAATCGCACAGACATTTAACAACAAGACTGCATATGAAAGTGAAATTAAAAACTGAGGCCTAAGTATTTTCAGCTGCAAGAGAAAAGGAAATTTTCATCACTTGTCCATTACTATTTTCTTTAGGCTCTTTTTGTTTAATGTATTCCTTATTTAGAAAAACTAGGGAAAAAAATACCAGAGGTGAAAAATAACCTCTGTATTTGCCAATGTTAGGTAGAAGTAAAGAACCCCCCTAGATCTGTGTAAGAACTCATGTTTCATGTTTGCAGCTGTATCATACGATGGTTAGAGCTGTGACACCTTGGGGGGGTGTGTGTGTGACATCATCCTGTTTTCTCCAGGAGGGAATCAGATTTCCAGTTTATACACTAAGCCTGACCCCACAGTTAGAAGACCGAGTCAACAAGCCACAAATGCATAGCAGTGGCAATGGTTAAAATGGACCAAAAACGCTATGTGGTAAGTGAATTGCATTTATTATTGTGTTTATAATGCTGTAAAGCAGTATTAATATCAACCCCATTTCACAGACAGGTAAACAGGTTTAGTAAGGCTACAGAATGCCCCCAATTTCATGTATCTAGTAAGTGGTATTCAAACCAGGCAGTCTTACTCCCAGACACAGGACATGCAAGTACACCCACAACATGTTTCCACTATAGCCCCTCTTCCCTACCAGACTGATTCCCAGAAGGGCAAATTACCCTTTCAACGATTCCCTTTTCCCCTTTGAAGATCAGTCTCATGGGAGGTTTGAATATAATTTAATGTATTGGGTAAGAAAAAGCCATATAGCGTTGCCCTTGCTCTAGTCTCCTCGGAGTCACCTGGTATCGAATGTCCACAGACAGACAGCAAGCTCTTCATAAAACTATGCGTAGACTTTTAGAATGTTGAATCAACTTTTAACTTTAATCAATCGCCTGTACTCATATTCCAAAGGTATCATTTAAAGATAAATCTACAAAAACAACTTATTTGAGAGGATTTTTTAAATTGTTTTTATTCTTTAATCAAATTAGAGTATAAAACCTTAATTACACACAAAAACTAATGACATCATACAGGATATATTTTTCATCTATTTCCAATGTCAGTATTAAAGCTTTTATGTTCTGGCGATTTATTTAAATTTGGACTTACACTGTTAAATGAAATCAATTAAAAATTTGGCTTCTCAGTCATTTTCAGTATTTTTCAAGGATTCAATAGCCACGTGTGGTCAGTGGCTAGCATTCTCCAGGGCAGACACAGAACATTTCCATATTACAGACAGTTCTATTGAAAACCAGTGATTTAGATGTTACTGGAGAAAAGCTGAGTGTTTACAGTCTTGTGTGGAATTGACCATGGTAGAACTACTCTACATCTTTTCTGGACAAATCAGTCATTAAATCCTCTACATACCTGGTGGTAGCAACTGTATCATATTAGTGGGTTACATGTCATTTGTTTTTCATGTTTTAAAATAAACTTTGTTGTATTTAGTTGAATCACAAAGTTAAAACTTAAAAAAATTTTCCTACTGAACGATGTAACCATAATATTTAAATAAAGGAAATCTGGAATGTAAATAGGTAGTAATGTAATATAGGACAAAAAAAAATTTACAAATAAATAAATGTGACACATGTCCATACGTTTTAGTTGTACAGACATATGCATAACCAAAAAAAAATTTACAAATAAATAAATGTGACACATGTCCATACGTTTTAGTTGTACAGACATATGCATAACCTCTAAACAATTCATAAAGTGGGAAAAATAGCGCCAAAAATAAATGAAAAACAAAACAAAACTCACTGCTGTCGAGTTGATCTCGACTCATTTGTTAGGGGCTGTCGAGTTGGTTCGCACTCACAGCGACCTTCTGCACAACAGAATGAAGCACTGCCCAGTCCTGAGCCATCCTCACAATTGTTGCTGTATTTGAGCCCGCTGTTGTTGCTGTCACTGTGTCAGCCCATCTTGTTGAGGGTCTCCTTTTTTTCGTTGACCCTTTACAAAGTGGAATAGTTAAGGTTCTGTGTCAACTGGACTAGGTCAGGATTCTCAGTGGTTTGGTAGTTGAGTTGTAGTTGACCCCATGATGAGATCAAATACGATGTACTCAACTCTATGAGGAGGTCTGTTATGAGCAGTCAATCAATTGAAAGGAAGTTTACTTGGGGGTGTGACCTGCTTCTAATATACTGGACACTCAGGCAAAGCGTATTTGCTCTCTGCTGGGTCTAGATCTTACATCTGGCTACTCCTCTGACCTCTAGCCAGTTCTTTGAACTTGAGCCAGTGGCTTGGCTCCATATCCTGGAATCATGAGCAGCAGGCCAGCTTACCTGCTTGGACTGTCTGCCTGCCGCCTAACCTGCTGATCATGGTTGACCTGACTCACAGACCTGGCTGGGACTCTCCCACCTCTACAACTGTGTGAGCCATTTCCTTGATATAAACCTTCCTTTATCTACATGTATATAAGCTTCACTGTTTTTGCTTTTTTAGAGAACCCAGCCTAAGACACCAAACATGAAGGGGCTGATCCCTTCTGACAACACGTTCAAAGAATGAGAGACGTAGTTTCACCATCCTCACTCTTAAGCATCATTCTGACTGTACTTCCAAAGCAGATTAGTCTGTTCTTCTGGCAATCCATGGTGCTTTCAATATTCTTTGCCAACACCATAATTCAAATGTATTGATTCTTCTATGGTCTTATTCATTGTCCAACTTTCATATGCAAATGTTGTTTGCCATTGAGTCGATTCCGACTCATAGTGACCCTGTACAGGATTTCCGAGGCTGTAAATCTTTACGGGAGCAGAACGCCTCATCTTTCTCCCGCAGAACAACTGGTAGTTTCGAACTGCTGACCTTGTGGTTCGCAGTCCGATTCGTAACCACTACGCTACCAGAGCTCCTTATAATGAGGCAACTGAAAATACCATGGCTTCAGTAAGGCATGCTTTAGTCTTCAAAGTGACATCTTTGCTTTTTAGCCCTTTAAAGAGATCTTTTTCAGCAGATTTGCCTAATGTGATACGTCATTTGGTTTCTTGATTGCTGCTTCCATGATTATTGACTATGGATGTAAGCAAAATAAGTCTTTGGCAATGTAAGTCTTTTCTCTGCTTACCAGGATGTTATTGACTGATCTGACTGTGAAGATTTTATTTTCTTTACATTGAGGTACAGTTCACATTGAAGACTGTGTGCAGTCTTTGAGCTTCATCAGTAAGTATTCTGAGTCCTTTTCATTTCCATCAAGCAAGGTTGTGTTATCTGCATATCCCAGGTTGTTGATGAATCTTCCTCCAATCCCAATGCTGCGTTCTTCTCCATATAATCCAGTTTCTCAGATTATTTGCTCAGCATCCAGACTGAATATATATGGTAAACAATACACACCTCACACACACTTTTCCTGATGTCAATATCCCCTTGTTCTGTTCGAAGGAATGCTTCTTGGTCTACATATAGGTTCTTCATGAGCACAATGAAGTGTTTTTGTAATATTCATTCTTGACAATGTTATCCATAGTTTGTTATGATCCATACAATTGAATACTTCTGCAAAGTCAATAAAGTACAGTATACAGCTGTCTGGTATTCTCTGCTCTCAGCCCAGATCCATCTGACATCAGCAGTGATACTCCTTGGTCCATGTCTTCTTCTGAATCCATAGTAAGTTTCTGGCAGCTCCCTGTCGATGTACTGCTGTAACCATTTTAAAATTACATCCAGTAAAATTTTACTTGTATATGATACTAATGATATTGTTCAATGATTTCCGCATTCCAATAAGTCTTTTTTTTTTTGTCCTAGGGGCACAAATATGGATCTTAAAACCAGTTGCCCAGGTAGATGTCTTCCAAATTTCTTGACACAGACGAACAGACGAGCGATCACCTTCCAGTACTGTATATCAGTTTGTTGAAAGATTTCAATTTGCCCATCCATTCTTGGACTATTGTTTTTCCACCAATGCCTTCAGTGCAACATGGACTTCTTCCTTCGGTGCCACTGGCTCTTGATCATAAGCTCAATTTCTTTTGGTACAGTGAGTCTGTGTATTCCCTCCATCTTCTTTTAATGCTTCCTGTATCATTCATTATTTTGCCCATAGAATCCTTTAATATTTCTACTTGAGGCAGCTCTTTCAACATCATAGCAACACAAAGAGCACCAAAGTCTGACAAACTGGCAGATAAGTGATGGTTTGATTCACAGAACCCGATAAACAAGAGTAGAACTGCTCCAGAGGGTTTCTATGAAGGTTGTAATCTTAATAGAAAAAGACTGCCACATCTTACTCCCATGTAGTGGCTACTGGGCTCAAACCGCTAACCTTACAGTTAGAGCCAAGTACTTAAGCACTGCTCTACCAGGCTCTTCAAAGATAGAACCAGGTAAGGTGAATAAATGCTCAAGCTCTTCTCTAACAAAAAAAAGTAAAACGTATCACAGAGAAAAAGAATATAAGGAAAAGACTGAATCAATACCCTTATTTGAGATTAGAATTAATCTCCTGAGTAATCATGAAAAAAGGAAGTATTTATCAACCTATTTAATTAAATGCATTGTCTTTTACAAATAATATTTCTAAGACTGCATTGATAATTAGAAAGCTGCATTATGAAATAAACCCTCCTCAAAGCTACACAACTAAATGCTGATTAGCAAACTAGTGTGCTGGCAAAAGACATGCTGTTCTAGACAGTGTTTGACTTGGCATTAAAATAACGGACATCTTACTTAACAACTTATTCTTTCTTAAAAATACAGTTATATTAAGACCTTAGGAAAAAA